AGCTCCCCTCCCCGCAGCCACCGCCCGGCTCTGCCCCACGGACCCCCCCGCAGCAGGGACCCACGGCTGGCAGGTCACTCCAGCGACGCTGGTTTCGGGAGTGGCGAAACGGAGCAGGGCTGGGGACTGCCCGGTGCTTTACACCCAGCCCAGACAGGACGGAGGAGCGCCGGGAGCAGCAACTCACCGAGGGATGGCGGGGATGCGCGTGCCGTTTTCATCCACAAAGTGACCCCCCGCATTGAGAACCCAGCAGTGGTGCAGGGACATCAGGGCGTGTCGGGCTGTGGTGGGGTTGTCCTTGCCGTTCTGGCTGTCCGCGTTCTTCAGGGGAGAAAACTCGTCCTCGCGCAGCACCTCGTACACCACGAACTTCCTAGGGGAGGACGGGGCGCAAGATGGTCAGGTCGGGGAAACGCAGCTGCTCCCCGTTGCTTTGGCTTCTCCCCTGCCAGGGTGGCTGAGCCGGGGCCATGGCCCCCCTGTAGCCCACCCCCACGGGCTGGTCCTCAGAGCTGCCCGAGGGAGAGCCAGCAGCGGGCTCCCCGCAGAGAGACAAGGGCATACTTGGAGAACTGGAAGATGTCAAAGACGAACTTTTCCATCTTGATGCCGTTGGGCTTCTCGGGTTGGATCAGCTGCCCCGTAGTGATGTCCACGTGTGGGATCTTCTTCTCGGCTACGTGGTGCTGCAGCTGCGGTTCGTAAGTGCTGCAACGGGCCAAGAAAGATCTGTCACTTGCCCAAGCAAGGCACGTCTCCAGCTCCCCAGCTGAGCCGCTGCTGTGACAGAGCCGCTCTGCCCTGACCCCCAGCCACCCCGAGGCACAGCCGCTTGTCTCCACAGCGGCCAGCGATGGCTGGGGGAAACTCATCTCGAGAAAGGGATGGTGCAGCAAGGTGGGGGTCAGGCCACACGTGCAGGGGCCGAGGACCAGACCCCATGGGACTCATCCCAGCACGCCTGCAAAATGCTGGAGCTCAGCCAGCGAGGCACAGGTGGGCAGGCAGCCGGCTCCGCTGGGAACCAGCGCTCCTCCTCCGGCACCCCAGCAGGCCCTTACTTGACCACATCTTTGAGGAAGGCGGTGGTGAAGTAGTGATTGGCAATGTTGCCAGCGTTGAAGAGCAGCCGCCCATCTGGGCCCCGTTTCTGGGCCGTGGCCAGGGAGACCTCGCTGTACTCCACCACCTGGTAGACACCGTCCACTCGGCACACCACGCCGACCGGCTCTGTGGGGTTGGTCTTCTCCACCACCTGCCCAAGGAAAGCAATCGCAGGGAAAGACCTTTGGAGACCTTATTGTGGCCTTTCAGTACTTAAAGGGGGTTTGTAAGAAAGATGGGGACAGGCTCTTCAGCAGGGCCTGTTGCGACAGGAAAAGGGGTGAAGTTTCTAAACTAAAAGAGGGTAGATTCAGGATAGGTGTAAGGAAGAAATTTTTTACAATGCAGGTGGTGAAACACTGGCACAGGTTGCCCAGAGAGGTGGTTGATGCCCCATCCCTGAGAACATTCAAGGTCAGGTTGGACGGGGCTCTGAGCAGCCTGACCCAGTTGAAGACGTCCCTGCTCATGGCAGGGAGTTGGGCTAGGTGACCTCCAAAGGTCCCTTCCAACCCAAACCATTCTCTGATCTTGCGCCCCCCAAAGCCCCGCACTCCACATACACCCCTCGTAGGCAGCAGCCCCTGCAGAAGCATCTTCCCGCGCAGGATAGCGGGGACAGGGATGCTGGAGCCCTCCCCTCCCAGGCGCTTCTGGCGATGGCGACTGGGGGCAGGCGAGGTGGCAGGGCTGGGTGACAGGGCATCAGGCACACCCAGAGGGTGCGGGCAGGACCTGGCACCGAGCCCGCACGAGGCTGGCAGAGGACAAGGCGATTTGTAACAGCCGACCTGCACGGGAACAGCCAGCTCGCCACACACAGGCAGGAGGCTGTGGGCTCTGCAGAGCCATCCTCCCACACCTGACCTCCCTCCTCTTCCTCGCACCCCCCACACCTCCCTCTGGGCACAGGACTCCCCCTGCAAATCCCTACCCATCACCAAATCATAGGCTGGACAAAACCTCTAAGATCACCAGGTCCAACTACCAACCCAATCACCACCGTGCCTGCTAAACCATGTCCCAAAGTGCCATGTCTACACGTTTTTTAAACGCCCTCAGGGATGGTGACTCCACCACCTCCCTGGGCAGCCTGTTCCAATGTCTGACCAGTCTCTCAGTGAAGAAATTTTTCCTAATATGCAATCTAAACCTCCTCTGATGCAACTTGAGGCCATTGCCTCTCATCCCATCGTTAGTTGTTCGGGAGCAGGGAGTTGCGAGGCAGCGTGCAGGGACACAGGGCTCTCTCGTTTCTGCAAGCTAGGGTTTGTTTCCTCCTCCTCTCACCCCGGCCAGAAGGAGGAACTGCTTTCCCTTTCTCAGCTCAAGGGAAAGCTTCAAGGCCAGCCTGTTTGCCAGAGCCGAGCCCAACGCAAACACAACCAAACAGCCCCTTTGGCTGCTAATCCAGCCTTCAAGAAAAGCTTTGGGTGTGTGACATCCTACCAGCGACACACAGGGCTGGGCTCAGCGTCAGCAGCCAGCTGCACCCACCGTGTCCTGGTCTGGTGGCCAGGGCGTTACCGCCGGGGACAGG